CCTCTTGACCGCTAGAAAATGAACAAGGATAAATTAGGTGTCGAATGATTTGATTGAAGATGATAAATACATTTTCTTTGAGAAAGAAGATTACCCTTTTTTATCTTGTCAGTGACTAGTGTAAACGCCTCTTGAAGGTGAGCAGCAAAGTCTTTTTCGTCGAAAAATTCTTCATTATAATACTGCTTCCACCAGTCCTCAAAAAGAGGCGAACATAGGAAATTAAGATTGAAGTCGACTAGAGTTAGTATGGTTCGACCAACGTACCTACCAATATGATTGGTAGCAGCATCCTCTGAGTAGTCTGCAGTGTAAAACAACAGATGCTTTTCTTGAGAGTAGATTGGTGAAGGGAGCGTCTGGATAATACCAAATTGTCGAAATACAAGATTCAACTGATAAGCAATTAAGCTAAGTTGATTCTTCGAACTCTTGAATCTCAGAGGCATGATTCTTGGTCGAAGAAACGACTCCCAGATAGCTACATATTCATCCACATGGTCATCTTCGCCAGACGAAGGATATGGTCGAATGAACCATTCCGGGCCAACCTTTCTACTAGCAAAGGGAGCCATGGTCGAAACAAATTACTTCCGCTTTGCAAAAATCATTACAAAGATGGTAAACTCCTTTTGGAATTGTTGACCTTCGTCAGTTGGAGTCAACATGACTAATCTAGTCCCTTCGACCCTTCTATTCAGGACATCTGGAGCCCTCTCGTTAATCTTATTCTTCTGCGGAAGAAAAGATTCAAAAGTGGCATTTAGCCAAAGTTGTAGAAGCCAAAAGGGGCCAGAAAGGAGTAAACTCTCCTTGTCTCTAATAACCTTAAGTTGAGTCACACCATTGCTGATGGACTCACACAGGTTGGCTAGAATCAACTCAGCCAGACAAAGAGGATAGCCATGGTGAAACTGTGTTGCAAGAGTAAGCATTTTCTTAGTCACTTGAAGTGACTTGGTGCAAAAAACAAAACGAGATAACCAAAAAGCTAGAAAATCTATGTGTTCCACTTTAGAGACAGTGGTACTCGATTTGTCGTAGAAATGATTGATGAATATGGTATACATATGCTTCGTGGCTGAAAACCCGATAGGATCTTCAGACAGATCCTCAAGGTCGAAGTAGTCACCCGTTGGTCGAAGACCAGTAATGGCGGCTATATTGAAGAGAGTTGGGGTTACCATTCCACAAGGCAAATGGAAGGTAAAATGTGTGCTATCCCAAAAATACAATGAAGACACCAACATGAGAGGGCAATAAGCTAACCCAGTCTTCGACAACATGATCAAGTCATAGATCCCCATATCTTTCCAGATTTGGGCTTGTACTTTTTCCATCTTGCTCAGCCATTTTGAGTATTCTGAAGTAAGACTAGGGCAAGATCGAAATATCCTATTGCCCTTGTTCATGAACTGAAGGTTGATATCTTCCTTCGTCTGAGAATGTTGCTGGTTGGCAGGAGTTGCATCTTCAGGATCATTCCTGATTTTCTTTGCACAACCTATAGGCTTGAGCCTAGGGTGAGTTGGGAAGAAGTTGTTATTTTGTCTTGGGTTCTCGAAACATTTATACAATGGGCCAGACATATCATACATCTGCCAAGAATACCTAACAGGGATAAGCAATTGGGAGTCATAAGCATCATGCCACTCTTTGACCATGGGTTCAGATACAACCCTTCGTTCCCAAGTCGAAACAGGTACAGGGTTAGTGGAGAAAACCTCTAGTTGTCTTTGGAGATAAAAAATATTCTTAGTTTTTGGATTGTTGGGTGCATTGGAAAGGAAAACCATGGCTGAAAGTAGTAGTGAAAGAGCGAAGAAGATGAAGTTGTTAAGGTTTTTTCTTTGCAAGGAAGTGAAGAATACTAGGAGTTGTAAAAGGATTCCCAAAAGAGGATTCGTCTATTTATAGTATTCAGGAAGGAGTGTTTTTTCCCAAGACCATTTAATCCTGCAGAGTTAGTGGGACACGTGGCGAGCGTTAAAGCAGTTATCGCACGAGTAATGAAAACGTTTAACATACTTTCCTAGGTTGTAGGGATAATGGCCATCATGGCAGCGTGGTAACAGCTGATTGACAACGACGTGTTGGGAAAAAGGTAATGATGACTCTGAATACCAGCAGGGGTTGGTAGAAGGAGAAAAGCACACAAGCGATTTCTGTGGTCAAAGAGAAGACAGGTGTCGAATGGGAATCTCAAAGAATAATCATCTCTCCTTGCGTCAAAACTGATATTCTTGGGGGGTAATTTGTTAGCTCCTAAATTCGACACCTACAACAAATTGGTCTTATGGGCCAAAAATATATTGAACAAGTCTAAGTTGGAAAGGCTTCGACAGAGCAGAAAAATACTTAGAGAAATTCTAAGTTAAAATGAATCTTCGACCAGAAGGTTCTCAATCCATTCGAATGAAAGGACTCCAAGGTCTTCGACCAGAAGGAAACTTCGTATCTGCACCAAAATATTTTAAATATGAAGAAAGGAGGGAAAAATAGTTTGCTTGGTAGTTGAGGAAAGCAACGTGGCATGAAGAGAGGGGTCGAAGTGCATGCAGAAGACACTTGTGTTCATCCTAGAGCAAGGCAACTCCTCGAAAGTTACCTAGTTTTAGTATAAATAGAGGAAGTTTATCTAGATTTCCAGGTGTTCAGATGATCGTACAAATTATTCAATACTATTCAAGTACCCACTGCGTGAGAAAGAATACTGAAAAATGTACGTTTGAAACACCACATTTTACAATCAAAGTCTTTTATTTCTCTCTTTACATTTCTTTCCTTTTTATTTTGTTTGCAATTTATCTGCACTTTTACCCAGATTCCTGCACCTAACCTCTCCTCAACCCCTTTGTTTTATTTACATCCTACACTCAAACTCACCCCGTTCCCAGTCGAACATGCGTTCTTCACCCACATTAACGTTTATGTCCAAAAAACATAAAAAATTAGCATATGTCCTAGGATCAAACTGATCGATCCTGCGAGTAACCAAAAAGTTACCCATTTTGGAAGATCAACAGTTGTTTACCAGAAAACACGGTGAACAACTTCACTTGTACTAGTGAAGGAGGTAGATGTTGGCAACCATTTTAGAAATGAACAAGAGTTTGAATTTCGTGAACACATGCTTCAATGGATTCATATAAAGGCATCCAAACTAGGGTTTAGTGTTGTATTCGGAAGGTCCGATAATGGTTCGGATAGAAGGGGTGTATTTGTGACATTGGCATGTGAAAGAAGTGAGAAATATATGTCTCTTCTCCGGAATTTCAAACGAGAAGAAACCGGTTCAAGAAAATGTGAGCGCCCCTTTATGTTGCGTGGTTATCAGTTGGAAAATAACAAATGGAGATTTAATGTGATATGTGATTTACATAATCATGATTTGTATGATAAGTTAGTTGGTCATCCGGTTTCATGTTACTTCATGCCGGAAGGGAAATAATGTGTTTCTGACATGACATTGAATTTGGTGCAACCGAAAAACATACTTGCCACCTTGAAGCGTAAAAGACCCGAGAATATCGCAAATATCAAGAAAGTGTACAATAGGCGTTATCAAACTAAGTTAGCGTTAAGGGGTGATATAACTTAAATGCAACACCTCTTGAAACTTCTAGATGATAACGATTACGTATCTAGGTACCGAACATGCGAGGATGAAGTAATCGTTAGAGAATATATTGGACTAATCCTGATTCTATAAAGTTGTTCAACATGTTTTCTACTATGCTCATCATGGATATAACATATAAGACCAACACGTACAAACTCTCACTATTGGAAATTATTGGTGTTACCTCTACCAAGAAGACTTATTTTGTCCGTTTTGCATTTCTAGAGTGCGAAAAAAGATAATTTTACATGGGCTTTAGAGGTGTGTCGTCTATGTCAAGGATGACAATAACTGCGATTTTTGAGCTGTTTCTGCTTTACTTAGTAAAGGAGAAGAGGATCACACAATTGTCCTCCATACTCTTATCTAAGATTTGAGGAGCAATAAAGAATCATACACGTGGTTATACGAGAATAAAAAAACTCTGCATTGAATAAATATTCTGTTTTTTGTTTTGTTTTGTAATGACATGGAAGGTTGTAAAGATGCATCTACGAAATAAAGGGTGATTCCGGAGATACATTTCAAGAACATGCCTTGGTACAAGATAGAAATTGTGAGGTCCATATTAGTCTACCACTACTATAAATATGGAGCACTTGTCATTTTGTTTCATATCAAAACACAATACACCAGAATGAACATCAGTTGACATGTCGAAAATATTCACTTTAACGGCGTGACACTCTCAAGAGAATTTAAGATCACTAAATACACTCCGCTTGAAGATATGATGCAATACACATTGTAGGAGCTTCTACCATATGGTGACAATCACAAAATTATGAAGATCAAGTACCGCTCGCCATCTGTTGACAAAGAAGGGAAGATTGAGTTCATTAACTATGAGCTGAAGACGGTCGCTGATTTTAGGGATATGTGTCAACTCCAATTTTGCTCTAGGGTATTTCATTCACCGCATTTATAACATTAGTCGGTCATTCGTACTTAGGTCAACATTTGCATCATTTTAAAGTCAAAATTTTTATTCTACAGGAAAATTGATAAAAGCGATTCGACACTGTCTGTAAAATTAACGGGCAAAATATTATGAGTTCTGATCTTTAATTGACTATTTTATGAATCTCCGTTGCACCTAAATTGTGTTAGTGTATTTGTTTTATTTTTTCGACACCGTTTAAGATGATATTTTTATTTATCAAACTTGTTTAGCCAAATATTTTTATTTACGATTTTTATCACTTACTATCTTTTTTTTATTAAACTTTGTTATTCGTAAATCATTTAATATATTAATTTTATTTTTTTAATTTAAAAAGTGTTTGTTATTTTATCCGTTTCGGTCAATTTTAATTCTTCTATTATTTTAAATAAATGTCGCCCTGCAGGCTTTTAAAGACAGCCAAACGAGAAGCATTTAGAATCCGCGGCGTACAGACGTATAAGTATAACCTCCTCTTTCTCATATTCAAAAATCGATTTTCTCTTTGAAGGAAAGAGTGGTGGTGAGTTAAAGAAAAAGAGAGAAAGCAGGTTCCTCTCCCACCTTTCAAGATCTCTCTCCTCGTTAATCATCACCTACATCTTTTCTCAACACTGTGCCATCCAAACAAAAGCAACCACCGTAATTTCCTATTTCCAGCCAAGAACCCACGGATCTACTCACATCATCACCATCCTAAACCGTGTTTCACAATACCATGTACAGCTTCATCTCACTTTAACTTTCCCTTTTGAATGTTAGAATTTAGATATTTGTTTTTTTTATTATAGTTTTTTGATGTTTGTGAAGTGCTAGATCCAACGTTACATTAATTCAAATTCTTGCGGTATAGTTTATTACAAGTACATGATGAGTTTTTTTTGTTAGATTTTGGTTTGCAATTTTGTATATATTCCAGTTATCTTGTTGGATATTACATTGCATTCCAATTTCAGAGTTTTAATTTAATATTAAAATTTGTTTTCGGTTGGTTTTCTAGTTCTGTATTGATCTAATTACAAACAATACTTAATTACAAAAATTTAATATTAGCTCTCGAATACGTTTGAACGCATAGATTCTATTGTCCGACTTCTTATCGAGTGATTCCTATGTGAATCTACTTTAATATTGCTTAACATACCGCTAAATTTGATACTCTAAATTTCAAGTTTCATTTCTTTTGTCGGTTTATTTTAGTGTTGTAAATATTGTACATAATTTACCGAGTTGTTGGATTTTTGTGTTTATTGTATTACAAATTCGAATGCATAAACTCTGTCTAACTTTTGATTATGTGTGGATGCATATATTTTGTCTGACCTCTTATAGAGTGATTCCTACATGAATTCATTCTAAGATTGTTTAACCTAACTGTTGATATTTGTAAATATATAATGTTAAGAATATTTGTATGTAGAATAGTCCCACATCGATTATATAGTGTAATTAGTTGTAATCTCTCTCTATATAATAAAGTCTCCGTAGTGTTTTCATAACACACAGTTTAACCTAAATGTCTCTTAGTCTCTCCTAATTCAATATGGTATCAGAGTCTCGTTTAAGATCCAGTGGGCCATCCACCATTTATTTCCATGCTCCAGTTGTCTAGTCCTGGGCGTGAGGGTGTGTGTTAAGAGTCTCACATTGGACAATATATGGCCTGAACATGTGTTTATAAGTGGGGGCAATTCTCATCCTACAAGCCAGTTTTGTAGGGTTGAATTAGGCCTAACCACATCTTAATATGGTGATCTTGAAGAGGAAGTATATATGGAGCAACCACCTGGGTTTGTTGCTCAGGGGGAGTCATCGAATATGGTTTGTAGGCTACACAGGTCTTTTTACGGTCTTAAGCAATCTCCGAGAGCTTGATTTGACAGATTCAGCACTGTAGTACAACAATTTAGTATGGTCCGTAGTGAAGCTGACCATTCTGTATTTTATCGTCACTCAGTACAAGGGTGTATTTATCTTATTGTGTATGTAGATGATATTGTCATAACTGGTAGTGATGAGTCGGGAATACTCCAGTTGAAACAACATCTTTCAAATCAATTTCAGACAAAGGATCTTGGTAAACTCCGATATTTCTTGGGTATTGAGGTAGCCCAATCTAAAGATGGTTTGGTGATTTCTCAGCGGAAATATGCTATGGATATTTTGGAAGAAACAAGTTTGTTGAACGCTAAACCAGTTGATACTCCTATGGATCCAAGTGTCAAACTACTACCCAATCAGGGGGAGCCTCTATCAGACTCGGGAAGGTATAGGAGATTGATTGGAAAGTTGAATTATCTCACAGTCACTCGTTCATACATTTCTTTTGCAGTCAGTGTGGTAAGTCAGTTCTTAAATTCCCCTTGTCAGGAACACATGGATGCTGTTATCCGGATTCTAAGATACATCAAATGTGCTCCAGGAAAAGGTTTAGTGTATGAAGATAAAGGACATACTCAGATAGTTGGATACTCTGATGCTGATTGGGCAGGGTCACCAATTGATAGACGATCCACCTCTGGGTACTGTGTACTTGTTGGAGAAAATCTTATATCCTGGAAAAGTAAGAAATAAAATGTAGTTGCAAGATCAAGCACCGAGGCAGAGTATAGGGCCATGGCAATGGCAACATGTGAACTCATTTGGTTAAAACAGTTGCTCAAAGAACTTAAAATTGAAGAAGCAAGACCAATGACACTTGTATGTGATAATCAAGCTGCATTGCACATTGCTTCAAATCCAGTCTTCCATGAGAGGACCAAACATATTGAGATAGACTGTCACTTTGTCAGAGAGAAGATCGAATCTGGCGACATCGTCACAAGCTTTGTCAACTCTAATGATCAATTGGAAGATGTGTTTACAAAATCTCTGCGAAGCCCCAGAACTAATTATATATGTGGCAAGCTTGGTGCATTTGACTTATATGCTCCAGTTTGAGGGGGAGTGTTGATATTTGTAAATATATAATGTTAAGAATATTTGTATGTAGAATAGTCCCACATCGATTATATAGTGTAATTAGTTGTAATCTCTCTATATATAATAAAGTCTCCGTAGTGTTTTCATAACACACGGTTTAACCTAAATGTCTCTTAGTCTCTCCTAATTCAATACTAACGTTAAATTTCACTCTTAATTTATGTTACTTTCCGTTCCTTTGGCTTTCTCCCGGGCCTTCTTACAATGAACTTTAATCGATTAATTAAATATTGTTTTAGTTAATTGATTTTGTTAATTAAAGTTGATTAATTTTGCTAATCAATTTTTATTAATTTAGTTAATTGATTTAATCAATTTTTAATTAATTGATTAAATGATTAATTCACTTGTGTATTTGTTAACGGATTTGTAATTTTAATCGCTTTATTATATCCATATTCAACAAAATGTACCCTCATTCTCATGACGTGTAATAACTTTACGGCTTTCATTTACTTTGTTGTTCTTTACTTTAGCTATTGTTGATTCAAGATTAACATAAAATGAACCATTTTCAAAAAGGAACAAAAATACACTAGATTCAACGTCGAGCCTTTTTCTTAAATCAAATTCAATCAATCGCTTCGTGGTGTTTGATCCTGTAAGAACAAGTGTTTCTACATATGGCCTTAAGATTTTGGTGATAACTTTACATGATATCATAGAGAATAATTGTATACTCTAATGATTTCGTTCTAGTGTGTAGCTGCTGCTGTAATGTTCTAACTCTGGTATCAAGGCGTGTGACGTCATCAGGTTCTGAATATAAGCACTACTGAAATAAAATATGAGGTAACGTGTTACAGTTGAAGTCAAGGTTCTGGAATTCGTCTTATGCAATTGTTCTTAAGAACATTAGTACAAGAGGTTCTGATCGTGACTTAGTGGTTAAGCTTTGGAGGCCTTCTAAAGCTTTGCTTCTCTGCGTTCCAAGTTCTGAAGATTATGAAGATGAGGTTCTGTTGAACAAGTTCTGGTGATCTGAAGAAAAGCAAGTTCTTACGATCAAGTGCTGAAGACTCTGAAGACAAGGTTCTAATGAGACAAGTTCTCCAAGACTTAGGTTCTAAGACTTAAGAGTGATTCTTCTACAACAAGCTTCAAACATTCAAATTATCTGAAGCCTCTGAAAAATAGAAGAAGTTAAAAATGGTTAGCGTGTGATGGTGTACAAAAAGTGTTTGTGACCTTTACTATCTAGGTTGGTGTAATACCCCAATTCTACCCGACAATTAATATAAAAATCAGATTATAAAATTCCAACAACCAAATCGGGATGCGACAAATTCAACTTAAAACAACGACATTCATTGCAGATACATAACATATTAAACTTGGATGAACCAACAATGATATAAATTAATCTTTTAAAACCAACAACTTTCATAACTACGCAGCATAATCAAATATTCAACTTAAAGAATATAACATCTTTATCCAACTAAAACAACTTTAGATAACAGTCATTTAACGAACAACAACTGAGTAATAACAATAAAATAGCAAGCGTTCATCCCCCGAGTGTTACGTATCAGAACAATGACACCGACTCGAACTACTGAAGGTAAACCACCTTCACTCTGGATTACCTGCACGTTATCAACATCGGGATAACATTCAAATAGAAAGGGTGGGATATCAGACCATATAATAGAACATATGATAAATAAAACGTTAGGATTAGTTCATACATATTCACCACTTCTCAATTAATAACAACATGAGCATAATCAAATCAACCACACAACAACTCAGAATACAACACCGAATGCAACTTGTCTTTATGCAAATGCATGTGGTACCAATGGAACATAACTCCCAACTTAAAAATCTGCCAATAAATAGAGGCATCAACAAGGCATAATCCTTCAACTTAATATTTTGCCAATCCAGGCCAACTTAACGAGCATCAGCTCCAACTTGATATGCGATGTATGCGATACAACATGAATGTAGCAACAAACAATAAATTAACAAAATCAACATTGACCATAACCCTACAACATAATATCTACCCATAATTAGAGGCATCTCAACATAAATCATCAACCCACAATTTCTCAACTCAGAACTTATACAGCACACTGTAACGACCAAATCGATACAACCGGGCAATATAACTAGGGAAACTACGAGCCCCTCGACGTACATAGCAACAAAGACAGAATAATAACTGACTCAAGACTCCTCGACACACACAGAAACAAAAGAATAATAACTACTTACGCTCCTCGACACAACTTGCAACTTCATACAACTCGACATCACTACTGTGCTCTTCAGCATACCTTGCAGCCTAATATCGCTCGACATCTAACATATATTCTCCAGCACATCTTGCAGCCTAAATGCCGCTCAACACCTAACACCATCAGCATTCTCCTCGACCACTAGTTCCGGCCAACAACTGTTGGAAGTGGTGTAGCAGCAAGCAACAAAATTTTTGGAAATATTTATCCGGGAATTTATCGTGTCCACAAAGATTGGTTATTAAATTGTCGTTCGAAAAATTCCCGCGTTTATGAGTTTGATTTTAAATGGGTTTGTTTGTAAGGAAAGGGTAAAAATTATTTACAAAAAAATAAATACATTAAATAGAAAGAAGAAACCTAACATGCAAGAATTTATACTACTCGTCACAAACTTAAACCTATTGATCAATTGCACTCAACCTACTGTACTCATCAAAATCATCAAGGACACCATGAGATGTATCCACAATGAAGGTTATGTCTAACGCCAAGTCCCGAGACCAACCGTATTACTCTATCGGCAATGTC